AACAACATTGAGCAGAATCAAGGGCTCGGCGCGCTCAAGAAGCAGGGCACGTGCTACCACGATAACGCTTCGCATCCCCGTCATTGAGAACACGGCGCACGAGGAGGACCTGACCGAGTTCCTCGAGGCGGCCATGGAACCGGTACCCGGACACGTACGCGTGCTTGTCAGGCGGCACGGCGTCTACGTGTGGGGGCGATAACGTGCACAAGGCCAAGACGCAGTGCGAGAGGTGAGAGATGCTTCATTGGAGCAGCTGTTACTCCTGGAGAGATCTCCATGCTAACGAAAACAGTCTGGACTACCTCTTTCAACTAGCTGTAGAAATGAAGCAGCTCGGCATCCCGTGGATCAGCGACATCCCCGTGGTCAAGCCGACAAGAATCTAGAGTAGACCACAGCAGATGAACCAGCGCGAGGTCACGCATCCCCGAGGTGGAATGGACGGAGAATTGGCATGAACAAATTTGAAGCTTTTTTTCGTATATTCTTCTTGGTCTGTCTGGTACCGACATGTTCAAATCATGTACCCCGACACCCAACTCGCTCACCCGCTCATCTCGACATACCCTTCATCCAAGATATGCACATTAATGAACCCCCAAAATCCACCCACTGACGCCCAACTATCTGCTTCGCCATTTTACAGGAAGAAAGCAGCGACGAGGCCGAAGAAGCCCAGAGAAGAGCTGACCAGGAGGCTGGCACCGGAGTCAGCGCCAGTGGTCTCAGAGGCATCAGAACCAGCGGTGCCGGAGGCGTTGTCAGAGTCAGTGGCGGTGCCGGTAGAGGAGCCGGTGGCAGCGGTGCCAGTGGTGGTACCGGTCTGGGTACCGGCAGCAGCGCCAGAGGTCTGCGTGGCAGCGGCGTTGCCGTTGTCGGCAGGGGCACCGTTGGTGGAGTCAGCGTCGAAGTAGTGCTCCTTGATGCACTGGTCACGGCACTGGGCGAAGGCATTGGTCTCGGCCTCGGAACCGTCACCCTGGTCGCAGTCACGCGACGCACTTGTCGAGGGCGATGGCCTGGCGTCGCTGGGGGCAGGGACCTGAGAGCACAGTCAGTACGTTGTCACAGTGAACGACGGAGGGTGGGATGCCACGTACGGAGACGCAGCGAGCCTGGCAGGTCGAGTCGGTGACGTCGCACTCCTTGAGGCACTTGTTGATAGCGGCAGCGTCCGAAGAGGCAGCGGCATCAACAACAGTGGGAGTGGGCACTCCGGGGACGGTGGTGGCGGTGGTCTCCTGCACGTACACAACGGCGAAGGCGCCGGCAAGAAGGATGTTGTTGAAGCGCATGTTGGCGGTTTGGGTGGTAATTACGAGGGTGTTTGGGTATTACGAATACGTAGAAGATCGAAAGTAGCGTAAAGTAAGCCGTGTGAACGAGGGACGACTTTTTGTTGAGAAGGGGAAAGAATAGCGAGTGTGAGTGTACTTGAAGCAGAGCGAGCTGATCGGACCAGAGGAGAGGAAGGCAAGATCCAGATGGAAGGGGAGGCACAGGCTCTTGTTTAAAAACACCGGCGCCGGCGCCAAGAGGGAAGCCCTGTCCTGCGCGAGGCCCGCCCGTTGGGCCTCTGACCTTGGTCACGCTTGTGGGCTGGTGGGTGGGTGTGCGTGTGGGCGTCTACGGTATGTGCGCGAAAGGTCATAACAATAGCCTCCAAGCCCGCTTCTCGTGTCCTAGTCCCACCGACAGGGCAAGGCAGGCAGGGCGGGCAGCTCCAGCGCGCGTGCGAATAGACACCGGCTACGGCCACAGGCGAGACGACGCAGCGCATACCGGCGTCACACTCCGGGGGTGGGCAGTCCGAAGAACCAGGATGGGGCGGGCCATGGATGGGGACCAGAGACACGCAGGCAGTTCGGCGTCCAGTCATCAGTCAGGCAGGTCTGAAAACTAGGATCAGATCGAGTCGAGCTGGATGGGGACTTCTGGGGAAAATGGCGATTCAGACTTCGGGATGCAGGGATGAGGGGGGAAGGGCGGGCGACTTTGGCTTTCCCGTGCAGACGCGAGTGCCGCAAATCTCCTTTTTAGATTGCAGGCGTTTCTGGTCCAGCAGACAGAAGTTGCAGGCCCTGTTTCCACGCCGGCCACACCGTGGGGAAGTCAACACAGGGAGCCATGACGGTCGGTGCTCTGGATCAGAGAGGGGGACCTGTTGGCCTGTCAGGTGCTGTTCGTACGAGAGACTGTCTCGGTCGTGTCTTTGTCGTTGCTGCGGCGTCATGACTGGGCAATGCTGATAATGTCATGTCGATGTTGGGTTCGGGGGATGGATGGAATGGGGGGTCTCGGCCAGTCTCTCTCTCTGCGAGTGCTCGAATGAAAATGGGCGGCCATAGGCCATGGGGGGGCATGGCGGCGGATCCAACCCGGGAATCTGCATGGTGGAACCCGCCTGCCGACCTCTGCCCAGTTTCAAACCCTGTCATATGATATGGCAAGAAAGACCTGAGCGGCCATGCTTCCTACCATCCCCCCAGAAGTGCAGTGCAGTGAATGTGGTGGGTGGAAAGTCGGGCCAGTGCTACACAGTTTTCTTGCTCTTTCCCATGACATCTGCTGGTACGTGCCCACGGACCTGCCCAACACGAGGAAATGGTCATGTCGGATCGGGAAACCCAATTCATGATTGGGACATCTGATTGGTGATAAGGACCTTTCTCAGGGGCGAAGTGATGCTAGCGTCGGCATCAACGCTTCTTTTCTGGTCGCCAGTCGCTCCTGTCCACTCGACGCTACGCATGAAGAGCCCCCTTCTTCTGTTCGTGTACCTTATACATGTACGCACAGTACGCAGATAGCCTGTCAAGCTGACCTGATGTCCTTGCTTCAATGGGGCGCTCGTTAATCAGGCGATGACTCTCAGCCGCGCTCCCACCAGGCGAGTCATCAGCGACTCCCTCATGCATCGTCCTCTTCTGGTGGGACAAATACTTGCGGTAAAAATCGCTTCACATAATGTGATGACATTCGATTCCACAAGACGCGAACCCTTGGGCTATGCACCTGTGTCTTGTTCACCGCAACCGCGTGTCGTCTGTGCCGTGCCGCTCGGTTTCTCCCCTGCTCCCGTGGCTGCTGTGCTGTGTGCTGCGTGTGCTGGCGAAGTCGAAGACACCGATCGGCATTCTACACCAGCCAAAAAAGCTTGACACACCTCACTCTGCAACCTACAGGGTCGCGTCGGTGGCCGAGCAGCGCCAGCGATCGCCCCCCCTCTGCAGTGCCCGCCTGCGCCCACACGCCACACCAGACTCACACCACCGTGTTCAGCAATACGAGCTTTGCCCCTCTAAAAACGCGTGGGCACAGCGAGCACCCACTGGATCTGGCCGCCCAGGCCAAGTGGCAACCGATGAGAGGGCTTCCGCTTCCACTTCCAGAGAAGAAGAATAAAAAAAACAAGACGGCTGCTTCTATTCGTGTCACCCTCCCAAGACGAACTCGCCCACTTGATCCGCCCGCTGTCAACCACGTCATGGTGAAGAAGCAGAAAGGTGGTCTCCGTGTTCATGCACGAGTTGGGCCGAAATCTCGGATCCGTCGACCGATATGAGCATTAGCAGGGGATGCTCGCACCGCCACTTGTCGGCCCCCCTTTTTCCTCGGCAATAGCATTCGATAGTTGACCACAGCCTTGTGGCTTTCATGGTGAGGTGAGTCGCTCAATGTTACCGTGCCTTCAGCCAGGCCAAGACGGACGGCCTTGTTACCGGGGCATGTTCCATATCCGTTGTTGTGCACATTGCAGCAGATCATCGACGATGGGCACGGAAATTACATCACAAAAGTCCATGTGCTTCATTTGACTTTTTCATGGAGCAAGCATTGTCGATACCAGCGGACACGGCCGGTCGCGCATCTTCATCTGCCTATAGCTCGTCCCTCGGTTCCGGCACGTTGACAGGCTCTTGCACCGCATCGTGGAACTCGTCCGCCCCCTCTCCATCCTCAAGCCCGTCGTCCATCTGCAGCTCTGGTATGTCTTCCACCATCTTGCCAATCTTCTCAACCAAACCTTCAACGTCACCCTTTACTACCACTGTGCTCTCCGCTTTCGCAGTACCAACGTCAATGGTTGGCAGATCGCTGTCCGGTAGGCCTTGAACCTCAACAGTCGCCTGGTCTACGACCACTGTCGATGAGCCGCCGCTCGAGCTACCGTACTTGATGACAGCGCCTCCCCCGCCCATCACAAGGCTGTACAACATCCTGATAGGTAGCCAGACAAGCCACCATGCTGGTCCATACAAGAAGCGGCGAAAGACCAGCCAGGCACCCGTAGAGAGGAGCATGTACATGGCCGTCTGTAGGTACCACGTGTCACTCTTTTGAGACTTGACGAGGGTTCCGAGAAGGTCTTTCGAGCTCGCAAGCATCCCTTCCAGTGACCCGTACGATTCGTCCAACTGCGCCAGCCCCCCCGAAGACTCTGTCAGCGTTTGGTGCGCGAACTCGTTGCGCCCCAGCTCCCCCCGCGATGAGGTCGTGCGTCCCCCCGCAGCGAGCTTGTGACGTTGCTGGCCGCACCAACCGTCTGTTGATCCTTCTTCCAACAAAGTAGACTGCTGCTGATGGGCGTGGTGCCGCCTGTCGTGGTGGCGGATCTCGCGCCTTTGATCGATTCGCGTCTTCGGCGCGAGACGAGAAATTCGCTTCGGAAGACCGGGCTGCGAGTAGGACTGCAAGAGAAGCTCCCCGTTCCGAGTTCTCTGCGCCCAGGTGAGGTTTCGCTTGGCCACGATCTGGGCTTTTCCTAAAGTTGACCGCGAGCTGCGCAAAAGCCCTTGTAAGCTGCTGCTTTGTACAGTTTGCTCTCCGTAGCTTGAAATTAGGTGTCCCGTACCTCTTGAGTTCCTGCTGCAACCGCTCGAGCCCATCCTTTAACCTCGTCTTTGTGTGCTCTGTTTCGCTTCCGGGGCGTCCACTCCTGATATCCTCGACTTCCTCTTGAAGAAGCTCGAGCTCGTCCTCCTCCTCGCGCAGGATCTGGCTGATTTCCGCGCTCAGCTCCGTGCCAACATTATCGTCATCCGGGCCGCCGAGGGGCACCGATCCCGGCTGGAAGCTGAGGTTGTGCAGTCGGTCAATAAGCTCTTTGAGCTGCGATGTCGTCTCCTGCAGAGCCGTCAGGCGCTCTTGTAATCCTTCGAAAGACATGTTGGTGGTTTGGGCTCTGCGTTGAAATTTGTTTGATTCGTGGTGCTGCGACCCGGTGACGTTGTCCGTCCTCGAAAGCTGGCCTCTGCTAACATGCAGTGACGAAATCCACATTTCAACCAGGGAAAGCCCCCGCTCCGTTAGAGCGATTCCAGCACCATCCCGTCAACCATTCTATCCCCCCTTAATCGCATGGCCGCCCAGAAATGCAATACAAGCTAACCCTCCAAAATTATTTCCGCCGGCAGCCCTCATCCCATCGCATCACGGAAGCCCGACCACCACCTCTTGGGACAAGCAAACCGCGAAGCCGCCGGCATCGACACGAGGACGCACGTTCGCCCACCATGATCACCAAATACATGACCGAGATCACCACGCGGTTCAATCCGTTTACGATGCAGGCCCGCCCCGCCCGCCTCTTCCTCTCCTTCCTGCCACCCAACGCGCGCCAGTCCGGCCTCACGATCAACACGGTCCTGCTGCCCAAGACGTCCAAGGAGGCGCCCTCGCTGTTTGTCAAGTTTAGTGCGTGGCCCGAGACCGACGTGCCCCGAGCCGGCAGGAGTGCCTCCCCCTAGCATCGGCCCATGGGGAGGACATGCGCGTGATAGGAGACAAAAGAACGCGATGTGCTAACGTGGTGCTCCTACAGAGGATGGCAAGGAGATGACGCTCGACTGCGAGAAGCTGGGGATCAAGGGCCTGCTGGAAGAGGTCGATCGGCACTCGAGAGGCCTGCAGAAGCAGGCCGACATGACGGATTCTTGAAGGGAACGATTTCGGTGGTTCGTTGTACATTATATGGCGTGTGGCATTATTGACGTTCGGGATGGACATGGTACCTCGTGAGGGTCGTCCAGAGCTGTACGATTTGAAGCGTTTGGGACCATTTCTTGTTGATGATCTGGTTCAGACGAGACGGAACATATGACCTCGGGGGCCGGCAACTGGATCACCAGGCATGTACAAATATACAATCACAGCATCATACAACCACAGCATCA